GAAATTTTTTTCTTAAATCCAAAATTTTGATATTTAGGGTTTGATATTCACATCCAAAATTTTATAAAACCAAAGTATGAATTTTAACCCTAAAAATCTTCCTTTAATCTCAATAGTTTAGCATAGATTGACTCTGATAGTACTTGTTGAAAATTTTATTAAATTTAAAATTTATAAATTTTACATAATTGTCAAGATCTTAATATCAAATCACAAAAAATAATAATAATAATAATGCAAAATATACCTCGGTCCATTGAGTTGTATTTTAAATGTTGAATTACAATAACTAAATCTTAACTTCTAGATATTTAATCTTGATTCTTAATTATGGATTCTTGAATTCTTCAATCATTCTTCTTGATTATTGAATTCCTTTATGCGGGTTATTGATCTTCCTCTTCAATATAGTTTCTCTATTAAATCTCGTGTTGATAGGATGATACAAAGAATGAGAAATTACATATTAATTGGGGACCATAACTATATATATAGTTTTCATACGTATTTCGCTCATTATCATATATAATACTAAGGAAATTGGTTTCTACACATATAACTCGATCTACACTTTATTTAGATACTCAAAGCCCAATTATTTAATTCTTTATTAGATCACTTTAATTTTGAGCTTAATTTTAAGATAACATTTATACACAATTAAATACATAACCCACGTTTGACTCCCATTATTAGATATTATAATATTTAGAATAGTGTTTTTTTAAGAACGTGTGCTTAAAAAAGAAAAAAAAAGTTTTAAGTTTACGTATAATATTATTTTATTAGAAAATGTGTTATTGATAAAAAGAAAGAAAAATGAATTGTAATTTTAATGGAAATCAAACAGGGCATATGTAGTGATGTGATCCGCACTTCAATAAATTCGATAGAAAGTTCCAGTTTGTGCAAGTTACCAAAAATTGATAGAATTCCATGTTGGCCGACAGTTTTGTGGTCCTTTAGGATTTGTCTCCTTATTTAATTAGGATTCTACTATTTTTAATATCTTTAGTTATTTGGGACCGGACATGTTTTACTTTATTTAAAAATAGGTTTTTAGGATTTTAATTCCTTTTTAATTATTTTTTAGGTTTTAGTATAGATAGGACTATTTCATTCTTTGTATTTTTCAAACTTTGATATTTTGATAATTAATTCGAGAGGCTTTTTTGCTTCCAATATTTGTTCTTGTGTGGAACAACCAAACTTATCAATATTTTGCGATCTTGTGGCGTTCAAAACTCGGGTAAGATTCAGTTAATTGTGTAATTAAAATGTCCTTTGTGTCTTTGTTACATTAGGGTTGTTTGATTCATTAATTGATTGTGTTAAATTCAAATTCAGATTAAATTTATAAGTTTTGTGATAAAAAGTTCAATAGTTTGATATACTATTGGTTGTTTGGTCCGCAAATTTGTGAATTGAGTCTTAAACTTTGATTTTTTACTTTCTTGGGGTTTGTGTCATTTTTTGTGGGTTTAATAGCGATCTAACTATCCAAATTCACATCAGGTGGTATTAAAGCTTAGGCACCAGAATCAAAGTTATATCCCTTTGTTTTTTTCTTCTTATTTTGGAGTCTTTATTTTGTTCTTCGTGTTTCCCATTAATTTTGAGTCTTAGATCTTTTTGTCTTCGGTGGTTTATTTGTTTTATGTTTTTGCAAAAAAAAAAAAAATACTGTTCAGGCATTGTTTCGTACCGTAGCTACTGTTTACGGGTTTTAAAAAAATATTTTTTTTGGTCCTTCCAAAAATTTTATTTAATTTCTTAGTCCTTCAACTTCCTAATATTGAATCTTCCACAATTCAATTGTTACCCCACAATTTTACTCTGAATAATTGTTCTTGAGATCATTGATTGGAAGCAATTGAGAGGTAAAAAGTCGAGTGGTGACTTCAATTGAGGGTAAAGCCTAATATTGAGTGATTTTCGAGTGAAATTTTGATGAGGTAGAAAATTTGTGAAAATGCCATAACGGGAAGGATCCATTTCGAGCAGGATGGGAAATCAAAATAACATGGCAGACGATATGATGCAGCGGTTTGAGCGCATGATAATTAGTATGGAAAATAGGTTGTACAGGCTAGACGCTAAGGTTACAAACCTTAGCCGGGTCAACGGGCAGACATACCACATGCTAGGAGGTCGACTAGACGAGAGTCTAGGATGGATATGCAAAATGAATATGGGTATGGCAGTGAATGAGATGATGATGAATTTGAAGAAGTAAAGATGTGACGGATGAGGAATAGAGGTGGTAGGTTTGAACGAACGGGTAGAAACTATGGGGGAGACGACGATGATGGAGGTATGGGTAGCATTAAAATGTCAATTCTGACATTTCGGGATAGGAGTGACCCAGAGGCATTTCTTGAGTGGGAGAAAAAGGTGGAGTTGATATTTGAGTGCCACAACTACTTAGAGAAGAAGAAAGTGAAGCTTGCAGTTTTGGAGTTCACTGATTACGCCATCACTTGGTGAGATCAGGTGATCACTTCATGGCGGAGGAATAGGGAGAGCCCGATAACTACTTGGGATGAGTTGAAAGCGGTGATGAGAAAACGGTTTGTGCCTGACTACTATTATAGGGAGCTTCATCAAAGGTTGCAGGGGTTGTGCCAAAGGTCGAGGAGTGTGGAGGATTACCATAAAGAGATGGAAATTCTAATGATTCGGGCTAATGTGGAGGAGGACCGGGAAGCCACCATGGCATGATTCCTGAATGGGTTGAACAGGGACATCGCCAGTGTTGTTGAATTGTAGCATTACATGAAACTAGAAGATATGTTGCATGTAGCAATGAAGGAATCAACAAGGGACTAATTCATCTTGGAGGTCTAGGTGGGATGAAGAGAAGGTTGATGAGGTTGTTGTCAACAATAAAATTGAATCACCTAGGGGAAAGGATAACAACGTTGGCAAGATTGCACCAAAGGTGGAACCATGGCAACCTAGAAATCGGGACATCAAGTGCTTAGGGACAGGACACATTGTTTTTCAGTGTCTAAACAAACGAGCCATGATTTTGAAAGACAGAGGGGAAGTGGTGAATGATAGTGATGAAGATGGAATGCCCAAGTTAGAAGATGTTAGTGATGATGACGGGATGGAGTATCCGGTTGAAGGGGATGCATTGGTGGTGATGCGTGCACTTAGTTCGCAAATCAAGGTGGATGAAGAGGAGCAACAACGGGATAATATTTTCCACACATGATGCCACGCGGAAAATAAGGTATGTAATTTAATAATTGACGGATGTTGCACAAATTTGCTAGTACCACATTAATCGAGAAGTTAGGTTTAAGAACAATTAAACACCCAAAACCATATAGATTATAGTGGTTGGATGATCATGGAGAGGTTAGGGTGAACAAGAGGGTGTTATTGAATTTGTCAATTGGGAGGTATAAGAATGAAGCGTTGTTTGTGCCTATGGATGCGGGGCATATATTATTGGGTAGGCCTTGGCAATACGATAAGAAGGTGAAGCATGATGAATTTAGAAATAGGTACAGCTTTGACATGGATGGAAAAACAATTACACTTGTCCCTTTGACACCACAACAAGTGTATGATGATCAGTTGAGGTTGAAAGGCGATGAGGGGAAAATGAAAGAAAAATGAAAGATGAGCTTATATGCAAAGAAGAGTGAGCTTGGTAGTGGAAGAGAGTTGGTGAAGGCTAACATATCCCTCCCTAGTTTGAAATATTCCTTGTTGTAGGAACATAAAACTTTATTGCATGAAAAATCACCATTTAAGTATTTCATTGATGTACAACAAATGGAGTAACTTTGGAGCATTGAAGAGGAATCAATCAACCATTGCAATGCGGAGTACAAGAAGCTCAATCAAGGGTTCAACATTGATCAAGCAGATGGAAGGTACAAAGTATTTGAACCAGGTGCAGATTCGAGTACGAATCCTTTCGAAGAGGGAGGGAATGATGTGATCCGCACTTCAATAAATTCGATAGAAAGTTTCAGTTTTGTGCAAGTTACCAAAAATTGATAGAATTCCATGTTGGCCGACAATTTTGTTGTCCTTTAGGATTTGTCTCCTTATTTAATTAGGATTCTACTATTTTTAATATCTTTAGTTATTTGGGACATGTTTTACTTTAGTTAAAAATAGGTTTTTATGATTTTAATTTCTTTTTAATTATTTTCTAGGTTTTAGTATAAATAGGACTATTTCATTCTTTGTATTTTTCAGACTTTGATATTTTGAGAATTAATTCGAGAGGCTTTTTCGCTTCTAATATTTGTTCTCGTGTGGAACAACAAAACTTATCAAGATTTCGCGATCTTGTGGCGTTCAAAACTCAGGTAAGATTCAATTAATTGTGTAATCAAAATGTCCTTCTTGTCTTTGTTACCTTGGGATTGTTTGATTCATTAATTGATTGGGTTAAATCCAAATCCGGATTAAATTTATAAGTTTCGTGATCAAAATGTCAATAATTTGATATACTATTAGTTGTTTGGTCCGCAAATTTGTGAATTGAGTTCTAAACTTTGATTTTTGGCTTTCTTGGGGTTTGTGTCATTTTTTGTGGGTTTAATAGCGATCTAATTATTCGGGTTCACATCATGTAGGCTCACACAACAAATTAATAATTTTTTAACATCTAGTAGATGCTTCTTTTAAAAAAAAGAAAAATCATAAACTATATATAATAAGCCAAGTTAGTGTTGCATACAGGGGCGGAGCCAGGATTTATGTTCAGTGCGGGCATCATTTTTCGACGCCGAACTTCGAGGTTTTGGTCATAGATTTAGTGATGATAAAAAATTAAAACAATATTACAACAACACTAAAAATGACATAATTTATATATTAAACTTGTTCCTTGCGAGTTTTCATATTTTGATATCGTCGTACAATAACTTCATTATCGAGTTTCAAAAATATATCTCTCTCTACATAAACAATAGTGCTATCATTCATCCACTGATCACCCATCCGATTGCGCAATCTATTCTTTACGATGTTCATTGCAAAAAAACTCTCTCCACAGTAGCGGTAGCAACCGGTAAAATCAATGTTAAAGTCAAAAGTCTGTAAACCAATGGATATACCTTATCTTTCTTTGTCAAAACCAACTTCTCCGCAAGATCACCAAGGCCATTTAACCCTTCAAACTCTTTGTTAGAGCGCATGTCCAAAATATAAGTCTCAAGTTGATCGCTAAGTACAATGTCATCTACTGCAGAGAAATCTAATGGATAAAGCTCAGCAAGTCTAATTAAGCTTTTCTTTTCAAAAGACGAAAATGAATCTTGTGGACATAAACAAGCTACACAACGGAGTAACTCTGTGTTTACCTCCGAGAAACGATCATTCAATTCTTGAAGTTGTAAATCGATGACAGAGTAGAACAAATCTACTCGATAATGATGTAACTTTGTAATTTCTGGAGAATTACGCTGAGGGCGACCACGAATTGCAAGGCGTACAAACATATCATCCATGTTGGGTACATGAATGTAATGTTGTTGACAAAAAGAACATACTTCTTCAAAAAAGGAGTCCCACCCTTCGTCTCTCATTATTTGGAGTCTTCGTTTGCACAATCTCACCAATTGCATTGCATTCACAATATCTTGATCTTTTCTTTGCAATGCCTTTGACAGTTCATTTGACATCGCCAACACACTTTTCATCAACTGTAGATTAAATGCAAAATCAAATCTTTGTATCAACTCCAATAAATTTATTGCATCAGATCTTTGATCACAAAAATAAGATTCATCTTCAACAATCATTGCAAGTACATCTAAAACAGAAGAGAACATGGCAAGTAAGCTGACCAAAGAATTATAATGTGAACTCCATCGTGTATCACCAGAGCGCTGAAGGGTCGTTTCTTGATTTAGTCCCCGTCCACTTAAAATCTCACCCTTTTCCAATGCCTCAACAATAAAGTCTAATTGTTTTTCTCGAAGAAGATCACAACGCTTGGAAGATGTTCCAACAGTATTTATCACGTTCCCAACCACAAGAAAGAAATTAGTAATAGGGATGTTCTTCTTTGTCACAGCCACAAGCGCAACTTGGAGTTGATGAGCAAAAAAGTGAATGTAAAAGGCACATGGACCCTCCTTCAAAATAAGTGTTTTCAGACCATTAAACTTACCTTGCATATTACTTGCTCCATCATAACCTTGTCCTCTCAATCTAGACATACTCAAGTTATATCTAGAAAATACCTTATCAATTGCAGCCTTAAGTGATAGAGCCGTGGTACTTGTAACATGTTCAATCCCTATGAAGCGTTCATTGACATGCCCACTATTGTCTACATAACGTAAAACAATAGACATTTGCTCCTTCATTGACACATCACAAGATTCATCAACTAGAATAGAAAATAGTGAGTCGCCAACATATTTGATAATAACATTGATTGTTTCAATAGCACAAGCATTTACTATATCCTTTTGAACATCAGGTGATGTCAATTTGCAATTGTGAGGAGCATTTCCCAATGTGACGGCATTGATAGTTTCATTATGAGCAGCCAAAAATTGCAATTGCACTAAGAAGTTACCTGGATTGGAAGAATCCTCAGATTCATCATGACCTCGAAATGAGTGCCCTTGTCGCAAAAGAACTCGAACACAATCAATGGATGCATTAAGGCGTGTAACATATGCATTTCTTGCTTGTTCTGACTGTTTGTAGAAAACTGATTGAATGTGTTGCTCTTGATTCATCAATACTTCACACTTAATGCGAGCTTGATTATGTGCACTATCATGAAGTCCAACATGAGTATGAAGCCTTTTTTATCTTTCCAATATGTAAAACCTTCGCCAACAAAAGACTCACCTCCACCTTACTTTCCAGAACTTGTTCTGAAAAGATAACAATACAAACAATAAGCAGCATCCTTCTCTACACTGTACTCCAACCAACTACCGAACTCTTTAAACCACGAAGGATTGAATCGTCTAATTATTACTCCAAATTGTCATTTTGGAAAGTCATGATCTTGGGGCTGAAAAGGACCCTTTAACCTTTTTCGTTGAAAGTATCTATTCATTTGATATCTGAATTTAAACATTTGATATCCAATTATTAATTGAAGTGAGTGAGAATAATTCATAATGACAAAAGGAAAACATATCTATAATAATCAGAAAAATGCTCATGTCTGTATGGAAAACATATCTATAATAATCAACAATAGTAGCGTCAATATAACTTCAGCAGTATTTATTAAAGAAAAACTAATTGAAATATAAATTGAAATGGGTTCCCCAAATATCTAATGCTTAATTAATAACTAAAGATTATTAATTTACTGAATATTATTCAAAACCCCCTTAAGTTAATCATTAAAGAACATTAACTTAGTGTACTAGAAAGGAAGTTGAAATCCCACAATAAATACACCAATAAAAACAGTTAAACTCAAACTCCAACAGAAAATTTACCGTGGGTGCGGTCAGTGGTCACTGCCGACATTATTGACGGCCATAATGGCACCAAGATTCCAAGAAACTGAAAGAAAGATTCCGAGCGCGCCAAAAACCAGGAGAGAAATGGCCAGGGCAATCTCCTTGATGGGCTGAGAAAGATGAACTTAATCAATTTCTCTACAACAGAGTAACAGTCAGACTAACAGCATTTCCAAATTCCAATTCCACAATAGAAATATCAAATATAATTTATATAAACCCATGAGATTGAGAGTTGAGAAATGAGAACCATCAATATTCAATAATTAACCAGTAACACATTACACACTAACACTAACATTCATAAATTTATTAAATTAAGTAGTGCAGACTGCAGAACCCGAGAGGCGAGAGGAGAGACGTGATTCCGAATTTCAATTTTTAGAATTTTCACAATTTCAATTTTCAGAATTTTCCATACTCCATCTTCACTGAAATATACATTAGGTAAGCAAGGTAACTTAAATCACCTTCTTAGTTCTTCGTTGGGCAACTTCCAGCTTCGGTCGGAACTCGGCAGAGCCGCAGAAGCAGTGGCAGACGCTCGCAACAGTGGCGGACCTGGCGGTGGACTGGAAGAGTGGAAGTTGAGTCGGCGTCGCCTGCGAGTTGGAGTAGCGACTGGCGACTGCCAACTGCCGAGAAGCGGCGACGGCACCGGTTGAGAGCAGAGAGGAGAGACGTGATTCAAGATTTCAAGTTTGCAAGGTTTGGAAATTGGAAACATGAATTGAACGGGTTATAATTGATTCAAGAAGTCGGGTCGGTTCGGTTCGGGTCACTAAACGGCCCATGGACTGATTCAAAAAGTCGGGTCGAGAAATTGGAACTTTTTAATTAAACGGGCTTTACCCAAACAAAAAAAAATAAAAAATTGGGCCTATTGGAGCCCTAATGGGGCTCACCTTTTATAATTTTGAGAAAGGAAGGATTGACTTCCAACTTTTGACAGTGAATGTCTTTCGACCAATATACTTTTGGAACAAGCAACACACCAAAATTCATCAATATATTTCAGTAATTATTCGCATCAATGTCTGTACGAGATGATCTAACCAGAAATTCAAAAGAACAAAGTCTTCAGCACATTTGAACTTGTGGGTTAATGGTATTTTTTGGTAATAATATTTACATAGTACTACCAAAAAATAAAGTGGGGGTACCCCCCCCTTTTATTTTAGAGGAGAACAAAATATTATTATTAATTTTGTTCCTCAAAGTAAAATAATAATGTTACTTAAACTTGATTGTAACACTAACGCGGTGTTTTTTAAATTTAACAATAAATTATTGCACAATTTTTTTAAAAATATTTTTTATCTTTATTTTTAATACACACACACACAAAAATGGATGTCTCCCTTTTCAGCTCAAAGATTGTGGTGTCACGAAATAGTAATAAGGTAAGCGTGCTTCACATAATTACATATGGATCCTGCTTGGTTCTAATCTTTTGACTAATTTTTTAAGTCAAAGAATCAATCTTTTAATGTTATTTAATATAGTCAGTCGTCATTTTTTACTTCCCCAATCACAATTGGGACCATTTTCTCTATAATGGTCAAAAAATTAATTTTAAGAACGAGTACCAAACGGGCCCATAATAATTATATTATTTCAAAAATAGAACCATGTTATCAAATATTTAAACAAAAATGAAAGGAGTATCCCTTCTTTAAATACGTAATACTTTATTTTCAATGCACTAAACTCTTGTTTTTACAGATTTTTAAAATTTTTTTTTCAGTAATACATATTTTTTTTCAAAGAATAAGTTTACACGTGAATTCAAAATCGTTTCTTACTTTTAATAATATATTTTTAAAAAAATTACTTTACTCAAAATTTATTCTCAAAAAATGTAAATAAAATAAGTCCTTAAAAATTTAAAATAATAGAAATCAAGTGGTAAAAACGGAAAACCTTGGCTAAATAGACAAAGGAGGTAACCGCCAAAAATCTGGAATGGTTCCCAAGAATTGAGAGTGGCAATAATTATTCATATGGCAAATAATCTTTTATCAAATTATTCATATGGCAAATACTCTTTTATCAATTTTCTATCTATTATTTGATTACCAACGGCGTGAGAATGAGAAAATCTTCAGTGGGGCCACACACTCCGAGCTATGTGGGCCACCGACCAAGGTGGCACCTTGGCATCACGTCGTGCGACTACCCCACCGAAGATCAGGTGCATAAGAATCGATTAAAGAGTCAAATAATAATATATTAATGCCAACAAGATGTGTTGTATGATTTCCTTTCAAGGATAAGCATTTGTTCATAAAATAGGGATATGGATCACAATTTTCATAAGATTAGATAAACACAAATTTATTTATTTATTTTTTGTAAACAATAATATAATATATATTTAAAAAAATAATAATAACAATAAAGTCACGTCTTTTTAAGAGTAACAATACAATATTGTATCTCAAAAATCATACTTAGTCCAAAGTACAAGCATAATAATCTCTTAAATATCACGTCTTATTATAAGATTATGCTCTTAGGTAGTAAATAGTATTATACTGAAATATTAACATAATATAAATTTGTTTTTATACAAGAAAAACAACAAGAAGAAAAATATTCTTTTATGATATTTATATGCCTATCTTGTTTTTTCATTCAAAAATTGCAACTTAAAATTCTTAACCCTTATTTGGCATAGATTAAAATTTGATATTGATTTTAATCTTAAATTAAAATTAATAATTAAGTTTAATTACACATTTTATGAGATTCACAATTTTTAATCATACATTTTATCATCACTTATCAAAATCTACTAAAAAACTTATTTTAATTTACACCAAGCAACGACTTATTGAATATTAATTGAATTGTAAATTGTGTTTGTTAAGGAAAAGCACAATTAAGGACAAATCTTCTTTAAGAATGAGCACTTCATGATAAAACATTAAAAATATTAATACATTTAAAATAAAATAAAAAATTTATGTACAAATGTATTGTAACAAAAGAACTCATTTAAATAAGAATGATAAAATTAAAATAAAAAATGTGTTCTTATTTAATTTGTACCATACGAGTCATAAAACTAATATAAAAATAATTGAAAAATAGTTAAAACTTTTGTTTATTTTTTTGAGAATCGATACTTCATATTTATGGGTACAGATACAATGGATACAATAGTTTACGACATAATTTACTTATAAACAAAATATTTATGTTTTAAATATACCTTTTTGCCAAACATGTCGTTACAAAGATCTACGTTAATTTACCTCTTAACATTCAATTGTTCTTCAAATTTCTTAATATCCATTTTAGGGCAAATTTCAATAGCAAAATCTTGGAACTACGTTGCCATTTTATGTACTTCAATTAAGCATTTGCTTGACACACCTTATTTGAAAATTATTTTTAAATATTCATTCTTTTAATAAAATAATTTTATATGTAAATTTATAATATTTCTTTATATTTTAAACGCACATTCTCTAGAGATATTATTTTGGAGAATCGAATTGTGAATAATTTATTATCCAAAATTCTGAGAATGACCACTGTGTCACTTGTGTGTTGAACTTATCCAATCCAAGAACGACCACCTCCTTACCATGACTGCAAGTAGGCAAGCTCTCGCCAGTGATTCTTGGACGTTACCTATCAATTTTCCGGCGAGCTATTTTGCCCCTTCCCCTCTCACTAGTTTCGCTTTCCGCCGTAAAATCGCCACTCCAACGTACAATCAAAGAACGCCACTAACTCTTCGCGTTCATATTCAATGCCAATGCAGCTCTGTCACTGTCAATGGAAATCACTCCACCATTTTCTCTCACTCGAGTAAGTACAAGTTTCTTAGTGTTTTTCTTCCACTCTCTCAGTGTCAAATTTTCAAACAGATTGAGGCTATGTATTGAGTGTTGGACTTGGCCGTAATTGTTCCAACCCACGTTGATTATTAATATCGAGGTGAAATTTAACAAAAATTTTCTGCTTTGAGAACATCAATCTTGAATTTCAATTGCTCTGTTTAAAAGGTCAAACTTGTTAAATAGTGGCAGCCCAGATAATTGTTTTCTCGTTTAAGAGACGTGGATTATACCATTAACACAATGTATTCAGTTCTTGTCTGATTGATCTAATTTATTTGTCGGATTTTGTTTTCTTAAGGTGCAATGCTGTTTTCACTATTTCAAGAAATTGGGTTCAATGAGGGAGACACTGAAGCATTATTGGATACCCACTCTGCTCTCAGATTCATGTCTTTTGAATCCATTCATAGTAGAATTCATTCCTTACAATCCATTGGAGTCAGTGGTCTTTCACTTTCTCGATTAATTGTGAAGCGTCCTGATGTATTGACAGCTAAAGAAATCGAGGCATTATTATATTTCCTTATTAATAATGATGATTTAGATTTGAATGGAAGAATAGAGCCTGTGCAGCTCGAGCGGCTTCTTAATGCAACAGACGCCAGATTTCTTGTGGGACTTGAGAGAAAAGTGAAGTTGCTAGTTCAATACGGTATTCCCCGAGAGAAGCTTGTTCATGTGCTTAACACTGTTAATTTAACTAAGGCCTTGTGCCTTAAGTCTTTTGAAGAAGTGGAGAGAATGCTTCATTTCCTGAATCGTTTTGGCGGCGTTAGTTTGATTCTTCGCCGGCCTGCAATTTTGAATTATGATCTTGACGCACAATTGGCTCCAAGAATCAAGTTTCTCTTGGAGTTAAGCGGGGGGGATGAGAAAGCCACTGCAACCATATTGCACAAACTTCCATTTGTATTAGCCTACAGTGTTGACCATTTAAAAGACCATGTCGAGTTCTTGAATTCTTATGCTGGTTTAAGCTATCAAGAGATATTTAGAATAATTCTTGTTTATCCGAATGTGTTTAGTGCGAGCAGGAAGAGGAAATTGCATCCCAGAATCGACTTTCTTATGCAGTGTGGGTTGAATTCACAGAACATATTTAAGTTCTTGATCAAGGCACCCTTGTTCTTAAGTCTATCATTTGAGGAGAATTTAGCACGTAAGCTGGTTTTCTTGGTGAAGATTGGTTATGAGAATAGGACCAGGGAATTGGCCATGGCAATGGGAGCTGTTACACGTACCAGCTGCAAGAATTTGCAGGAGAATATCGGGGTATTCTTGAACTACGGATTGACTTGTGAGGACATTTTAGAGATGAGCAAGAAGCACCCTCAAGTTCTACAGTACAACCACGATTCTTTGGAGGAGAAGATGGATTACTTGATTGAGGAAATGGGTCGTGAAGTCAGAGAGCTGTTGTCTTTTCCTGCATTTCTTGGTTATAAGCTTGATGGAAGGATTAAACATAGGTATGAAGTAAAGAAGAAGATTTTAGGTGAAGGAATGTCCATTAACAAGCTACTGAGTGTATCTGCAGCAAGATTCTCGATGAAAAGCAAGAAGAAGCATCCCGTGAATGTGGTTGACAGCCAGAGTGAAGAAGTTGAACAAAAAAGAGAGGACTATGTTATTATTTTGGATAAGTAAATATTTTCTTCGGGCCATTCATCGCTAAAATGGATGCACAAATATTATGGTTTTCTTTCCATGTCCGAAGTGGAGAATCTCAACAATTATGATTTTTTTTCTTTGTGAACTGTAAAATTATTCTGATGGACACTCTTTGCAGTTTCATGGGATTGATGAACGGGAAGACAGAGATAGTGAAAATTATAACTGTGCCTAGTAAATTCCAGATCAGGTAGTCAGGAAGTAATACCTTTTGTAGAGTGAGAGCATAGAGGATTCAAATCCAGGTATAATTTTTGCATGCTGGTATTAATCCATTGCTGTTAGTAGTTCTTGAGATTTTCTTGAACTTTGATCAATTGAGTGGCAATACAGCAAAGACGATGACAATGGCTTTGAACAATGTGCCTATAAACTGAGTTTTTTGGATGCTATAGAGTTAGATCCTGTTAAATTTTTCTGAATCATAACCTGTTAAAGAATGATTTTGTTCGTGCTGAAGGAATTTATTTTATAAAATGTCTATTATTCCAGATCATATTTTTAATCCATCACGATATTTTATAACTCTTCCGAAAAGGAAGATTGGCAATTTGATCATTTATCCAACCGACAAGAGGGTTAATGTTCCCTGTTTTAGACGTGGCACTCGTCAAATATGTGTAGTTTGGTGTGATGGCAGTAGTTGGACAATCGTTGAAAAGGGGTATGGGAAAATACTTTTTAACAGTGGGGTTACAGAGGGACAAAGATGAACTGGGTGTGAATAAAAAAGATTTATGTAACCAAATCCAAATTTATTGGAATAAGGCTTATTTCATAGTTTTTGCTTGTTTGTAGAGGGACAAGTTGATCTAGAAGCTGCGGATTGAGCTAATAGATTGGTGTGCGCACAGTGGTTGATATCAGGGCCCCCTTAGTTCGGAAGGCCCTGCACGAGGCCAGTCACTTGTGTCCACCAACCAAAAATGTCTAAGATTTCCCATTTCTTGAAACTATCTTTGTCATATATATTGTCATTTCAGAATGACATTTATTTTCCCAGATTCAAGTTTTACACAAAAATTGAAGCTGATAAGTGCCCTGATGACTGATGTTTGAAATCTTGTTCTTCTTCCATGGTGGTGTCTGTGTCTGTCTGTGCCTGATTCAAGGCTAATTTTCCGGAAAGTAAAATGCAGTGCTGTATAAAATATTGGCTTGGCACCTGTCTAGAATGGCTGTGGATTTTCACTAACATCTGCTGCTCCTGCATTGGGCAAAAGTTTAGGTTCTTGGAATACTTTTATAAACATATATTTCATTATTTCTAAAAATCAGAGAAGAGTTCAAGGTAGGTCCAAACTAATCACAGGTTTGCTCTTTCTCAAACAATTAAATCAAGTTATGTAAAATCCCTTTAATCCATGAGGTACTCCTACAACTAATGGTCGCACAAACTTTGTTGAATAACCTCATCTAAGAGCTTAACTTGTCAGAGAGAGACACTTATTTAACATGGTCTTGGTCACACCCCTAACGTGTTCCCAGGGCAGCACTCAGAAGCAACCTCTCTTTGCATCCATGGCTGAATGGAAAAAGTGCCCGACCAGGAAAATTCGTCGGTTCGATTCTTGCTGGATGCACTTGGAAGGTTCAGTTCAATCGCTGCTCACAGAAGCACAAGTCCACTTCATTCTTCCGTCAAAGACTGACTTGAATGTTATATTTGGTTTTTGCACTAGACAGCCAGATATAGCAGCCCCAGGAGCTGATATATTAGCAGCATATCCTCCAGGTCCAAGCGCAAGAAATGGATAAGCATTCTCATCTGGAACATCGATGACTGCTCCTCGTGCATCGGGAATTGTTGCTTTACAAAGATCGGTCTCTGGCAGCTATAAGGTTTTCACTCGTTACTACAGGTAGCATATCCATCCAAGCTCCATATATATTTCATCAAAAGCCTGCACAATTTTTCGTAATTGAGTGACAGCCGAACATGTCAATAATATTTTGCCGCCTGGAGAACAGATCCTTGTTCGGGACAACCAATTTTGGCTGAGGAAGACGTAACAAAGATTGCTGATCCGTTCTATTTAGAGGCTGAGGCCTTGTTTATGACTTAGGAATTGACGACGAAAACATCATCTCTGTTCCATTGGTTTACGCAAAAAGCTAAATCTTGATCCTCGATCAAGAACAATTTTTTCTGTTCTGGATTTGAATATCCTTTAAATAACCATTCCAAAATCTGAACAATCCAATTACTCTCAACAGAACTGTCATAGACGTTGGAGCCATTAATTCTGAATATAAAGCTATATTTAGGCCTCCACCAGGAATTACTGTAGTGGTTAAACCTGATTAGTTGATATGCAGTCCTATGATTAAGAAAATTTCCTTCACTGTTTCTATCTCTGCAAGTTACCTGGTTACCACTAAATATTACTTTGGAACTTGACTTGAATTGATGGTGTGCACTGTGCAGTAAGAATTCCTATATCTGTCAGAAGCGAATTTCCTGAACTTGTTTGATAAGCTCGACTGAATAGCCATGGAGAATATTAAAAAAAAATAAAAAAAATTAGCATTTTATCTATTGTAGTGTCGTGTTTGTTCACTATCTCATTGTTTTTGGCCTTTTAGGCCTTGTGGCCTCCATCTTAACAAAATTAATACAGAGAAAATCACTTGTACACTTTCTTCTTTTTTAAAATGAATATGAATTATTATACTCATATTTTTTTTTTAGTTTTACATGTTTATCACTCATTATTTCTTTTCTAAATGAATTTTCTTACTTTTTCTGGGATGCCCTGTCATAATCACTAGTTAGCGCATTACTTATCCAGGGTGAGTAGGGAGCAAGAACTTTCCGGGAAATTAAGGAAGAGAAGAAAATTTTAAACTCAATCTTCGATTGTTTTTTGTCCTGACATGGAATTGTATTACTTAATGTCGACCACATCATTATATTATCTACACATGTAAGAATAAGCTACTCACTTATATAGAAAATGAGACTTTTGAATAGAGTGACCAACATCATCAATGTCTTTCCTCTCAACATATCTGATATTTATTGCTCTCATATTTGCAAATGTAACAGATATTTTGCTAACTCGGGCGAATCTCGAAACCACGGTCAGTAGTCCAATTGCATCTCCACTCATGTTCAACTCTATAAACATGCATATTTGTTTTCTTGATTGTAGCAGGTTCATATTGTTTATATGGGAGAAAAGCAGCATGATGATGTAGAGCTTATTACATCTAACCATCATGATTTGCTCTCTTCAGTCCTGGGAAGGTACAGCATGAGTTTAATGGTGGATACACACAGAATTTTAGTGTTTCTTGAATTTTTTACTGAATAATTTTCCAAAAAATTGCAGTAGAGGAGCATCAGCTGAGTCCATGATATACAGTTATAGACATGGTTTCTCAGGTTTCGCTGCCAAGTTAACGGAGTCTCAAGCACGAAGTATTTCAGGTACTTTACAAATACAGAAACCTTGAGAATTCGACTAGGATTGACTTCTCGATCTTTTTGCTATACTCGCAACTATTTTGTCCAAGTCAGATGCTCGACCCGACTGATATTATTGTCTTTATTAGTTAAACCACATTCAGCTTCTAAGGGAATCTGATACATTCAAGAAATTAGCAGGCTTCTTTTCTTGGGACGAATTTAATGCATTGCACTGGATGGATATTCTAAAAAGTAAGAAGCCAGTTGGGAGAGAAAGATTGAATAGGAGTAGACAATAGTAAAGAAAAATAAGTTAAAATCTTGTTCATTATTATTATTAAAATAATAACGTTGAAAGAGAAGCTGTTAAATGATTCGAATGTTAGAATAAGCAGTCATTTGTAATGTCGTGTTCTTATCTTGCTTGTAATATGGTTGGAATTTTCCTTCCATTTTAGAAATACCAGGTGTGGTTCAAGTTATCCCGAATCATTTCTATAAGGTGCAAACCACAAGGAGTTGGGCTTACCTTGGCCTCTCGTCTTCCTCCCCCTCGAATCTCCTACACGAAACAAAACTAGGAGAAGACGTCATAATCGGTGTCTTGGATACAGGTTCTTTCTCTCACTCTACTCGTACTAAATAACAATAATAAGTTAAAATCTTGTATGTTAGCGGTATAATATTGTCTAGTAACATGCATGATCAACGCGCAGGTGTATGGCCAGAGTCCAAATCTTTCAACGACGAAGGTATAGGACCGATTCCATCAAGGTGGAAAGGTTTTTGTCAAAAGGGTGAACGCTTTGATCCAGCGAAGAACTGCAATAAGAAATTAATTGGAGCTCGTTTCTTCTTCGATGGCCTTCAAGCAGCACTTGGAGAACCATTCAATTCATCGAAATACAACGAATACTTATCAGCAAGAGATGCAGTAGGACATGGCACACACACAGCCAGTACTGCAGGCGGCTCATTCGTGCATAATGTGTGTGTCAGAGGACTTGCTTATGGCACTGCTCGTGGGGGGGCGCCTCATGCTCGTCTGGCCATGTATAAAGTTGTTTGGAACGGACTAGGAACGGCTGCTGACATTCTTAAAGCATTCGACGAAGCAATTCATGACAGGGTCGACGTTTTGTCGTTGTCGCTAGGCTTAACTATACCTTTATACCCCGAAATCGACAATCGTGATTTAATTTACTATGGCTCATTTCATGCTGTTGCAAATGGAATAACAGTTGTTTGTTCAGCAGGAAATTCAGGGCCAGTTGCTCAAACGGTTTTGAATGTGGCACCCTGGGTTATAACTGTTGGTGCTAGTACTATTGACAGATCATTTCCCACACCTATCATACTAGGAAACAACAAGACCTTGATGGTTAGTTATTTAAGGTTTTCTTTAAACTCTTGATTTAGTTTACTTGGAATAAAACCATCGATAGTCACAAAATGTTAAAGGAATTTCAGGTTGGTCAGTAAACTTCATTTTGTTCTAAAATGGTCAGCCTCAGTAGATACTTACGACCCAGCCCAAGTCTTGAAACACGTATATATCCATAATTCACTTCAGTATCATTTCAATAAGTCTGTTACCCTTATTTCACTATTAGTGTACCCCATAGTCCTAAGGGTCGCGGCTTTATCCAGCCCGTGTTCGCATCATAATAGTACTAGCTTAAAGAATACGTTAAGGGGCAGCCTTTAAACAAAATGAAGTTTAGTGACCACCAACTTATATAACTCAACATACTTTTGTTCAGAAATGTCTTCTTGTGCCATTCTTATGTGAATTGTAATATTGCTTGCAGGGTCAAGCAATGTTCTTCGGCAAAAATACCGGGTTTGTTGGGTTGATTTACAAAGAGAGAGCAGTATTTGAATTGCCACAGTAAGAATCTTAAAGGCACCCTTATTGTTTGATAGGATAAAAAATGCTACTTGAAAATGAAATTTTTACTGGTTTACAGTGCAGATGTGGCAGAATTTGATTGGTTGGTTTAACATCATTTTTTGTCCAAAATTTTGCCCGTTTGAGCCATATTTTTGAGGAAGTAGAAAAATTTCGACCGTTGTTTTCTAATGCGGGTCCCACCTAAGAGAGATAAAGTCAAATATGACGGCTGAAATTGGTCTCCCAACGATCGGAATTCTCATTTTTTGTGGTTAAAAATCTGGTTCAAACTGGGGTTTAATGAAATTTCGCCACCTGTAAACTATCCTGTAAATTTTTCCTACACATGTAGCACTTCTCCATAGGATTGAGGAAGTTTTATCCTATACAATACTATTCTTAATGTTGTTTTCCACTATTTCTTTTACAGCCGTTGTGAATCTCTATCGTTGAACGATACTTGGGTAGCTGGCAAGGTAGTGTTGTGCTTCACATTAACTTATGGTCAGGCGCTATCCCCAGCTTTATCAAATGTTCTCATGGCTGGGGGCTTGGGGATGATCGTTGCCAGCAATCCTACTCGATACCTATTTGAATATGCAGGCATGCCATTCATTTTCGTTAATTACAATATCGGAACGCAGATACTTGATTACTTCCGCTCAAACAGGTACAAATAAAAATTTGAATTTGTCCCTTCTAATTTCCATTTCCGATCGTATGAAAAATGTGTACTGTGAATCGTGTAGGGATCCAAAGGTTCGACTTATAGCATCAAAAACATACATAGGCAAACATGCACCAACCTACGTGGCATCTTTCTCATCCCGAGGTCCGAATTCTCTTAGCCCTGCAATCCTTAAGGTATCTCTATTACGTCAAATCATCTCGTCCAAAAGCTTCAATTATGAGATTAATTTTTCATCAAAGACTAAACTAGAGTACTTTATTTGGTTTTTGCACGACACAGCCAGACGTTGTGGCTCCAGGAGCTGATATATTGGCAGCATATACTCCAGGGCAAGGTGCAGAAAATGGATATAAGTTTTTATCTGGAACATCCATGGCCGCTCCTCATGTTTCAGGGATTGTTGCTTTGCTTAAGTCTTTACATCCAGACTGGTCTCCAGCTGCTATAAAGTCGGCACTCGTTACGACAGGTGAAGCAATACCAATCCATTTGACCTTTTTCATTCATACACAAATTTTCACTAACGAGTGCCTATGAGACTAGACCCTAAACCTTTTATAATGTGGTAACATGTTGAATCACCTCATCGAATAACTTAAGCCTCTATACAAGGGATAAAAATAAATACTTAGAATCTGACTTCGACCAAGCCATACAACTTTTTCACGTTCCTAACCATTCATTTCATGCTTGTATTGCATGTTAGAAACGAATTAGTGGATAGAACTAGACATTACAGTAAATAAGATACTTAACTCGTAATTCTTTCAATGCTATCTATTATTTTACAACCCACCTCACAAATCATGTCAATAATGTGTTGCAGCCTGGACAGCAGATACTTATTCTGGAGAACCAATTTTGGCAGAGGGAGACATAACCAGGATTGCTGATCCATTTGATTTTGGAGGCGGACTTGTTAATCCCAACAGGGCAAGAGATCCAGGCCTCGTGTATGAACTGGGAATTGAAGATTATATACAGTATCTCTGTTCCATGGGTTATGATGAAATTGCGATCAATCACCTTACACAAAAAGCTAAATCTTGTCCAAGAATGACTACTTCTGTCATGGATTTGAATCTTCCTTCCATAACCATTCCCAATCTTAACAACCCAGTTAATCTCACGAGAACAGTCACAAATGTTGGAGCCATTAGTTCTGAATATAAAGCTATAATTAAACCTCCTCCAGGGGTTAGTGTAGTGGTTAAACCTGATTATTTGATCTTCAGTCCTAAGATTAAAAAGATTTCCTTCACTGTTACTATCTCTACAACTCATCAGGTCACCACTAAATATTACTTTGGGAGCTTGACCTGGACTGATGGTTTGCATAAAGTAAGAATTCCTTTATCAGTCAGAAGCGAATTTTCAGAACTTGTTTGGTGAGATGGACTGAATAGTATTAAGAAATAAAAAGTAAAATTCTGTCCATTGTACCTTCCAGTGTTTATCCACGATGCACATCAAACACGCTCTTAACCTATTGTCTTACTGTACAAGGCCTTGGACAAAATCACATGTTGTACTCTATTCGAATTAAATATGAATTAAATAAGGAGGTTTTTATGTACAGTTATGTCGTTGCTCGTTAATTCTTTTAGCATATAATTTTGCTACACGGGATGTTTCTTTTCCCGATTCCTGATGGAATGTGTTGAAACCGGTTATATTTTGATGCTTTAGTAATAAAGTGAGCAACTTTTATCTATTACTTTTATTATACCAAGCGTAAAACATAAGCAGGCACATAAATTTCTTGCTGTCTGCTCTATTGTATTAAAACATACAAAACAAAAGGCAAATGCCGCGTCTTAATTTGTTTGAGCAAATAGACATGAAAGTGATTATTTCTCACGAGGACTGTCAAATTAAGCTTTATTCTAAATTAATTTCAAGCCGACTACACGAGTTGCTATCTGCCTCAGCTCCAAACTTGAAATGAGTTTATAGTAAATGCCATTGGTCAGTGTTCTTAGAAAGTCTACAATCATATATACAACAAAGTACACTGACCTCCTAGCAGTCTCTCAACGTTGTTTGTATTCTATCAATTATGGTTCTCGAGCGGCTCAGCCATCTCAGGCTCCAATTCCTCAAACTTATCTTTTTCTTTCGGAATAATAAGTCCATAGCCTCCAGCTCTCCTTTTATACACTATGTTAATCTCACCTGCAGCAGCTCATCCAACAAAATGACAATTATGGGGCTACTGGATCAGAACAATATGCATAGAAGTAGAATGAGTTCTTACCGGTTTCCTCATTCCGAAAACCATAGAAGTCGTGATCAACATTTTCAAGCTGCTCGATTGCCTCAGCAACAGTTAATGGTGGCATATCAAAGTATTTAGTGCGAACAATCTGAAAAGCAAGATCATAAATGAGATACTGGCAATTTAGCGTGTGTGTGTTTGGTAAATAGTATTGGGCCATATTAGAACGTATGCTGAATAAGATTTTAATTTTTTCTCTTTTAATATTGTTCGGTGCTATCTAATCTACTTTACCAAATATTGCGTTAGTGTTTACGAACTATCCTAAAAAATGGGAACTTATTGTTTCATTCACTTCTTCTCCCTATTTACCGGAAAGAGTGATGACAAGCTTCTTCTTCCTTTTTTTTTTTTTTTTTTTTTTTTTTTTTCTTTTTCAATGAAAATGATGAGAACACCAGAATTTATATGAATGATTAGATTAAAAAATAAATAAATAAATAGTGTGCAACAAATCATCAGATTATCCTGTCTCAACACCAGTAGAATGTTAACAAATCAAAATCAAGAAATAATAAGTAAAATACAGCCAAAAAAAAAAAAATAATAATAATAAATAAATAAATAAATGTCAGAAATAATTGAGAAATGAGACAACCTCATCAATGACATCCTCCTCGTCTTCCTGAGGAGCCACCCCTAAATCATCAACTGCTAGCAGCGCATCAGGTTCCCTAACCTTCAGCCTATCAAAACCCTTCATGTGGCGGCCGTGGTCCGAATCTTTCTCCTTAATTTTTCTCAACTTCCTCTGTATAATAGATGACACCAAATCAATACTTCCATAAAGTGACTCAGCATCCTCCTCTGCCCGAATCACTCCATGCTTCTTTGTAAACAAAGTCACCTAGAATTACAAATGCCCGTTAAAGATGTCAAACAAAACAGCCCAAAGACATCAAAGTGAGGTTTTTAATCTTATATAAGCATGCACAAACACACCTCACATCTTCGAACTTTGGGTCCTTTCCCCAATTCACCACCGCGAACTGACAGTCTAACATCCACTTCCCTCACCAAGTGGCTATGCTTTTGAACTGCCCTACCCAACTTCTCTTCCACAAAACTCTTCACTGTTGGTGTTAACTGCATTTACACAACACTTCTGATTTCATATCTTCCATATCCCAGAAAACAAAAGAAATCCCAAATACAAGATGGGAAAGATAAAAGATCATTCTCTAGGGGTAACACAAAATAATAACAAGACTAATCTGGCAAGTTTTCTACAAAATACCAACAAAAAGAATATAAGATCATACTCTATGCAAAATGGGAAGAAAAATAATATCTAAATTAATTAATTAACTAACAATTTGAGTATAATGTGAGTGGTTGTTCCACCGGAAAACATTCATTCGACAAAAACAAAAGCAACAACAATTTAAACCTTTATCCAATAAATTTTGAGTCGGCTTAGCTAATCCTTTTCCGCCACTTTGACCAATTCATCAGAATACCAGCAAATACATATTTAATAATTTGACTGATACCAGAGATTGTGCCTTTTTCATTTTCCAATAATTATAAAAGTAATCAAGAAATTAGGATTGCACATCACTTATTCTTTATTCCATTCTTCTATTCACTTTCATAACAGCGAGCAAATTTCCAGTAAATAATCAAAAGATAATGTTTTAAGCTCAATGTTAAAACAGAGTATACCTCTAAATTTTTGCCTTGAAGAATCAACTTGACCGAAGAGAGAGGACCATCCCACGACATTCGAACCCCCATCGATTTTCCAGTGCTATTTCTGATGATAACAATGTCATGGTACCTGAATCGTGAACTCAGAAAACTGAAATTTTGAGAAGATAATGCAGATGTCTGATAATTAGAAGAAGAAGCAGTCAATGACAATAAACCAGAAGATGAAGAAGAAGAGCAACAAGAAAACTGGTGATGATGATTAAAATATAAACTCTTGTGTATATTTGCAGATGCAAATAGTGTAGCCATCTCTTAATTTTCTGCGCAAATCAACACTGGGTGTTTGGGTAAAATTCGGAAGAGAAGAAGAATGATTGAGAACATTCAGGTTCTTTAAAAAACGCAGGGTTATCCAGATTCTGGATATGGTCCCCGCCGCGCGCGGTGGTGTCTGGGCCCGGCTGTGGTGGCCCTCCGACCAGCTTAATGGATAACTATTGGGTTTTGAGGATGTGATCGTGGTCTCTTTCATCTAAGCCCAATACAGATTATCCATGTCCACCGAGGAATTTTTCCATGTGCATAAAAATTAATATTTTGATGCTTGGCTAACCTGAAAAGAGCATTTTCCTAATCACATGATTCCATCCATATTAGCGAGCAAGAAAGGTCACATATCTTGCGCTTTAGACGTGTGGGGTTATAGTAGTTCGACCATTAAGTGTGAATTTATAAAGTACAAGGGAAAATATGGTGTCCGTTGAATGTTTAATATGTGTTCTTATCTCAAGGATTTAAGAATTAGATCTGATAGGTGTTAATCTCAATTTTGTGATGACCTTAATGAATTGAAAAGTGGTCATCCTATGTTCTAGGTCTATCACTTGAAAAGTAGACTAAAAGCGTCCGATACAAAGCTGCCAAAACTATAATGTGTATGGAAGAATTTTAGGCTGAAGTAGTGCCAGGGAAGATGCCTTGCATAGCAAAGGCCTCATTTCAAAAATACATTGAAGCAACTTGTGATGCATTGCCTCGATCTTGATGCGTCGAATGAAATGATGTCGCATCTAAGCTATCTCGCCTTTGTTCTTAATGGCCTTGGCTAGGTTTAGAAGGATGGATTGGCCTGGGGTACGGGCCTTGAGTGGCTCTTTGCTATTTTTTAGCTCTTTGTCCGTGATTTATTTCCTCAACAAGATTCCATTAATATTGAAAGAAGTGTAATATCTTGAGTTAAAAGGCAGACATCAACAAAAATATATCAATATTGGTGCAAAACGAATTTTTTCTAAGTAAATTTTCAATCGCATACATTGCTTCATTTTTCTTTTTTTCAATGTTTGAGTTGATTTTCCATCAACATCCATACGCAACAAATAAACATTTTTTCATCAAATACTCAAATATTAATTTTGATGCACAATAATTTCAAAATGAAGTCTATCAAATACTTGACTAATGATTCTTTTTCGTCACAATAAATTTGATTTTATTAAAATTTATTGTAGTGCGAATCCAAGCCTAAATGGAAGGCTTGACCATTAATAGTAACATATTTCATAATTGTTTCTTTCTACAATATCATTTTTCCTTTTTCTTTCGGGTACACTAGACAACAAAATAAAATTATACGGATACATGTCTGTCCGTCCCGCCACACCAATTCATTCAACAAAATCTTTTGCAGATTTTTATGTACCATCATTGTCTTGTCTACAAACGGAATTCTTAAAAGGTTGAACCCCAACCTTAAGGGTCCCCTATCGCTCCTATTCTGAAGTATCGTGAGAGAGGTAAATCGCAGATTATGCCTCCAATGGTACATAATGGAAGGTTGCTTGTACACTTACACTTACTCAAGAGCCAAATCTATATTTAAGGATTCGAACCCTTGACGCAACAGTCTCAAGCAAAGTTAAATTTCTCCACCCTCTCCATTTACCACTTGAAAATGTGCTCTGGGGGCATCTACAAACGGAATTCTTGGTTGCTCCTAGTGATGAAAAAAAAATCCGTCCCGTCCTGAATGGAGCAAAATAATCCTCCCCGAACGGGTTGGCGGAGGAGAACTGAGCAAGGCGGAGCGCCCCATCGCAGGGTGCGGGGTGGGGCGGGACATCCTTGTGAGGGAAAAAAATAAAAATAAAAAGATTAAAAATATTTTATTTCTAAACAATTCACCAATTAAAAATACATTTTGGATTTGTATTTTATTATCTACTAATAATATAATTTTGATAGTAATTTGACCTAGTTCTTAATAACAAAGCCAACACTTTCATGAGATGAGAAGTGATTTGTTAGATATTTATATCCTTTAGATTGCACATTTGATTCTTAAGGTTCTCTTTTAGACAATCTAATGTTAATCAATGAACTTTAATAATGCTTAATAGCAGTCGAGTTTTACTTAAACACATGTTTAGATATGTTTAAAAGTCCAGTAATGCTACTTGTATATCATTGTATATAGATTTATGTACAAACTGGCGATTTGGGTGAAAAAAAAATAAAAAAGAGAGAGAGAGAGAGAGTGAAAGAGAAGAATGTTTGTTAATATAATCCACATAATGAATATATACACAATGATATACAAGTAAAGTTACCTTTAATTTAAAAATATATGACTTAAGAGTAAGTAACACTTATTTATAAACAACTTAT